ATCTTCGTAGCAGTTGCCTGCTGAAATGTCATTATGAGCTAACTTACGCATCTCATTGTGAATTGGAGCAGAATTCCACACTTGCTCATTACACACAGTATAAGCCGTCGGAACTGAGTGACTGTGTAAAGGCATTGCACCGGCTTTTCAGCGTTGGTCCTGGGAGTAACCTTCCAGCAATCAGAGAAAAATACAGTCAACATAAGGTAACTGACTGGGCCTGGTCCCGAATGTCTTCAGTTAACAACTCTGTTGCTAGTAGTACTAACGCCATCCCCTCCCTTTCCTTCATCAGTACAAATTTGTTGCAAGGAAGCAGTGCCCACCACCAATCCCTACGGAATTCTTTGGAGATGTAACATGATAGACATAGAAGCCCAACAGGAATAGTTCCAGTTGCTTACTGAATTCTTCCGCATGTGGCACAGATGCCCAGCCGCGCGACTGTGGAGGTGGTTCGTTGGTTGTTGCAGGACGTGCTGATGACCCCTGTTGTTTCAGGTGATTAGGAGAGTGTAGATTCTAGACCGATGCTTTGAGGTTTGTTGGTCATGTTAGGGCATTGGTGTGATTTCCTTCTCCCGGCTCCCTGCTGTAGTCTTCCTGTACCTAGACCAACGTTTGCAGGCGCTTGTAAATGAGTAAATCGGAGTTGTGTTGTAGAGCTGACCAACATATAGATCGATGACCAACATCCTGTAAGCTTGCTCGTAAACGATCGTAAATTTCCAGCCAGAAACAGTGTTTTTCTCTCACACCAAACCAGCCAACAGTAAATAATCCACGATACGATACGGCCTCCCGAACAGGCTGCTCGTTTGTAGTGTCATAGTAGTACTGACTAGAGTCACAGTCACTGGTGTTCTTTAATTTACACCGCATGTAAATTGAAGTTTAGGGGTGTCTCTTGACTCTTCCTGGTTGAGACAGACCTGAGGTGGAGTACTCATATTGTTACAGGTTGTTGAGGTGTTAGCTGCTGTGGGAGGGAGAGAAAATTGAATTGAATGGGCGAGGCAAGCCAGACTCAGTCAGATGCCTGAAAAGGATTGCTGAAAATTAGTTAAGAGCTGTTGTTACCCATCCTCCCTCGCTCAATTGAGATTTACTTATATATATACTACTACTACTAATTACAGAACAAACATGTAATGTATTCCATAGCATTTTCATCGGATTGCCTGCGAAAGAGAACGATCGAGTGGGGATCACTGGCGACCACCGCCTCTGCGTTCGCTTGGCCGACACCGGCAGCGAGAGGCGGGAGGCGACCGTGAGATACGCCGAGGCTGCTCTCGTTACTCGGCAGTTGCTGGGCTTCTCGGGTTCTGGCCCGGCCCATGATTAGACGGATGGCCCAAGCCGGCGGCGGCACGGCGGGCAGGGTACACCTTCTTTTTTAAACATTTTTAAAAATAATATAATATTTCAAAGATAATCAACTCTATCTATTTATTGCTTTTTTAAACATTTTAAAAAATAAGAATATTTCAAGGATAATCATCTCTATCTATTTATTGCTACAACAAGAACACTTGGAGTTCTCTAACATCAGAGCATCTCCAGGAGTTTAGTACAGTTTACTTGCTAAACTAATAGATCTAGCAAGTTTGTGGAAAAAAATAGCAGCCTTAAATTTTGTCCTTCTTCAACTGTCTTATGTAATAACTTTCTAAACAATTTCCATTAAGAACCATGAATTATTTCTAACCAACTAAACCCTTTTTAATATTTTCTTTGTCACTCGTCACTTTCTCATCTAGAACCCTTTTATTTTCTTAATTAACTCATGCCTTCGATTTACTCCGATCTTTCGAGAAAAACACCTGGAGGGGAGTGGATACAGAGTTCCGCTCGACTTGTTTTACTAAAAAAATAAAATAGGGAGTTGTTTTACAAATCCTGGAGATGTTATTATAAATGTTCCATTTGAAAATTAGCGAAGGCATCACATATATCTTGTTGTTCATATACTTGTGTGAAACTTTTTCTTCAAGTTGGTTAGTACTCCGTACTAGTTAAGTGGAGCTCTCGTCTGCTTCGACGTGCACCGTAATTAGTAGCAATCTTTTATAAGTCTGTTTGGGATGATTTCTTGAAAGGCTTTAGTTGTGGCTTTTTTGTTTTCTTTGGTGATTCAAGAATCGGAAGTGATAGAAGCCTTGAAAAGAATACAGGCCTTGTTCGCTTCTCTTATAATCCATCTTTTTTAGCTTATTTTTTTAGCCATAACAGTGTTTTTCTCTCATGACAAATCAGCCGGAACAGTGTTTCAGTTTGATTTTTCAGCAAAGCGAACGGGACCAAAAGGGGCAAAGCGATGGGCCATGATGGTATCACAATCAAGGTGTGGAGATATCTCGGGAATATAGTTATAGTATGGCTAACCAAGATGTTCAACAATATCTTTCGATCGAATAAGATGTCTAAGGAGTGGAGAAGAAGTATATTGGTACCAATCTACAAGAACAAATGAGATATCCAAAGTTGTACTAATTATTGAAAAATTAAGTTGATGAGCCACACTATGAAATTATGGGAGAGAATCATCAAGCAGCGTCTACGAGGAACGACGCAGATATGAATAAACCAATTTGGTTTCATGTCCGGAAGGTCAACCACAGAAATAATCTTCTTAATAAGATAGGTTATGGAGCGGTTTAGAGAGCAGAAGAAGAATCTTCACTTGATTTTTATTGATTTGGAGAAGGCTTATGACAAGATACCAATAAATATTATGTGTTGGTCATTGGACAAACATAAAGTCCCATCAAAGTACGTTACCCTCATCAAGGACATGTACAACAATGTTGTGACTAGTGTTCGAACAAACGATGGTAACACAGATTACTTCTCGATTAAAATTAGACTTCATCAAGAGTCAGCCTTAAGCCCGTATCTCTTTGCCTTGGTAATGGATGAGGTTACCAGGAACATACAAGGGGATATCCCTCGATGTATGTTGTTCGCTGATGATGTAGTGTTAGTGGACAAAAACCAGACGTGAGTAAATAGAAAACTAGAGTTATGGCAGCAGACCATTGAGTCTAAAAGTTTTAGATTGAGCAGAACTAAAACCGAATACATGAGATACGACTTTAGCGGAGTTGTACAGAAAGAGGGAGATGTGAGTTTGGAAGGTCAAGCAGTGTCTAAGAAGGATACATTTCGATATCTAGGATCGATGCTACAGAGGGATGAAGATATTGATGCGGACGTTAGCCATAGAATCAAAGCAGGATGGATCAAGTGGCGACAAGCTTTTGGCATTCTCTGTGACAAGAGGGTACCACAAAAGCTAAAAGGCAAGTTTTATAGAATGGCGATTAGACCAGCTATGTTGGATGGAGCAGAATGTTGGCCTACAAAGTTTTGACATGTTCAATAACTGAGTGTTGCAGAAATGCGTATGTTGCGATGGATTTGCGGTCACACAAGAATGGACCGAGTTCGGAACGATGATATACGTGAGCGCCTAGAGATAGCATCAATTGAAGAAAAGCTTGTCCAACATCGGTTGAGGTTGTTTTGCCATATTCAAAAGAGACATCCAGAGACATCAGTGTATTGTGAAGTCCTAAGCCAAGCTAATAATACGAGGAGAGATAGAGAAAGACCAAAATTGACATGGGAGAGACAATAAAAAGAGATTTAAAAGCTTTAGAGATCTATGTTTGAATAGGAGTGCTTGAAAAACAGCTATTGAAGTGTCTGAATCATGACTTGGGGCTCTTGGTGGGACTGAAAGGCTATATTATTATTGTTGATGTTGTTGTAGGTGAATCTTTATCAAACACTAATTCAAGAAACAACTCCGCAGGAGAAGATTCGGAGGGAAGAAGCCATTTTTTTACTACTACAACGAGAAAGCCATCTAAATGTGACTTCTACTACGTTTTCTTTTGGTTTTTATGTCAAACTAGTTGTAGAGAAAACATGCCAAATAAGACCATCTCTTTTATAATAAATAAGTAATCAATAAAACTTTTTTTGTGCCTCACTTGCTTTGGCTCCTTTCTGTATTGAAGGGGTGTTTAGTCTATGTTTTGGATGCCAAATAAAAGGATTAAACATAAGTTAATCAGGGTCTAGCAAAAACTAATAGAGGCTAGCTGATGAGTAGAACATAATAGAAAAAAGAAAATTTTAATTAACCCACATTTAGCATATTATCTAATGATGAACTAAACTTTAGTCCGGCGACAAGCATGCCAAATAGAGTCCAGACTCACAGTAACAAAAGTGAGGCCATGAGAGTGAGTGGGAGGGTCATCCTCATCCATGGGCCATGGCGTCCGACCACACCGGAGCGGTCCATTCCACTCATGCGTGTCACGTGACCTCCCTCTGGTTTCCGCCGTCGTGTTGTGCCTGCCTTGTGATGTTCATTGCACAAAACCAGTGGAAACGAGGATTGAATGTGAAACGGAAGCTCATGCTCGTCGTGCTCGTCTGAAGCAAATTACTCCACTCCCAGTCCCAGCAGACAACAAATAGGCTCTTTTAATCCTGTCCTGTACCCTCCTCCCTCTCTTTACCTACTCCATCCATCTTCTTCCCCGTCCGTCGCATTCATCCGATCCGCCCTCTCCCCTCCCATGGCCCATCACCCTTGCTCCACCAATCTCTAGCGGCTTGCGCACCAGCAAGCTTCAAACCTCTGCTCTACTCTGGGACGGACGGAGAAAGTGAGGGGACCCAAACCAGATCTTGGCAACACACCACTACTCCCCCGAAACACAGGTAGAGTAGGGCTGAGGTGGTTCAACTCCCTCCCTCTCCCTCTTTTCGTGTCATATTCATAGGCTCATAGGTGAGCCACCGCCGCCCACCCAGGGATTGGAGCTTCCTCGTCTCCTCATCCTCCTCATTCAAAATCTCCCTGCTTTCTTGAGGGTTTTTGGTTCCCCAACAAGGTTGGGGGGAGGGGTTTTGGTGCTCCTGTGCCTGGGAGGACGAATCTATCTTGGCAACAGGGGAGGGAGCCGTCCTGTTTGCCCATGGAGGCGGTCGCAATGTCGCCGTCATCCGTCTCCTCCCACACCCACACCCACGACGACCATGACGTCGCCTCCGGCACCGAGGACATGTCCTTGCAGGAAGGCCTCCTCTTCTCCGACACCCTCAAGGTACTGGTAACTAGCATCCCCCTCTTCTCATCTACGCAAAGATACATTTTCCCCCCTACTTATTATCACTCCCCCCATCTTGTTCTCTGTTCTTGTTGTTGCTGTGGATCTAGCTCACGCGCTTGCGGAAGAAACCAGGCTGATTACTGCCTGCCGGCGTTCACACCAAAAACAGAAACAAAATGCGATGCTGTGTCCCATTTCCCTGTGCGCTTTCCTGTCCATGTCAATCACAAGATTTTGTCCCCAATCAGGTCTATCCGTCTAGTATCTCTATCACACACTGTGCTACTGTAGGGTGTGTTGTCCTGTCCATATCTTGTTACAGCAATACAATTAATCTTGTAGGAGTAGGAGTATACTACAACCAATAACATCTTACCATTTATGAAGGTCTAACCTTGAAATCTTGCATTGCTCTCTTCCTTTCGACAAAAGTGAGAGAATCATGCATTACTGGTATAATAACTGCCTTTGCAACTCTATAATGGCCGCACCTTTTCTCCCCCTACTTTTGCGCTTATTAAGCTAAAGCGCCATCTCATTTAGAGTTTGAAAATGGACTTGTCTGCATAACGGCAACACGACACCGACTCAGCACCAAGGCTCTTGCTAATAAAGCAGCATCAACGCTTTTTGTGATTTATGTCATCGCTTTGCCATATATGCTTGTGCTATTTGTTCGACAAAAGTTTTAACCTGCCGTTGAATTGAGCGTTACCGAGTTTATTGCTCTGCTAATGTCAACCTATAACGTGCTTCCTGCCATCTATTGTCAAATTTGTCTCTGCTTAGGGTAAAGAAAAGCAGATAGGATCCTAGCCTGTTCGCTTGCTCGTAAACGATCGTAAATTTTCAGCCGGGAACAGTGTTTTTCTCTCACATCAAACCAGCCAACAGTAAATAATCCACGATACGATACGGCCTCCCGAACAGGCTGCTTGTCCACAACCACAACAAAACCCCCACATGGCTATACCTTTGTTAATGATTAATGTGTCTTCCATATGTGCTTAGCTGGCATTTATTATTACTATCTCCTATGCCCTATCCGCCTGGGTTTAATAAAGTATGCTTTATTTGTAGGACCTGAGGAATCTGCGGTCACAACTGTACTCAGCGGCAGAATATTTTGAAGTATTCTACCGAAATAATTCGCACAAATCTACGTATGAATCCTTTTCTGGATCTTTGTTTCCTTGTTTGTCCTGTTTGCTGTTTGCTTCAATAAAGAAGTAGCAACACTTATCCTCTCATTATGTTCGCACTGATCTTCTTATGTAGGGTCATGACGAGTTTGAAAGATTACACAGTTGAGGCCGTTGTTAGCACAGTGGACCATCTGGGTTTTGTGTCATACAAGGTGGATAATCTTGTCAGCGAGAAAGCTGATGAGGTTAACGAAACTGAATTTCTAGTGTCTTCAGTTGAACAGGTATAATGCTTAAGTGCCTACTGTGGAAAAAATTCCTCCTAGTAGATTGTTCTCTTGACCCTGTTTTACAAGTTTGGTAAGATGGAATGAATATCAGAGATAGTATTACATTTTTCAATCTGTACCCTTCATATCGACCACTGTTTCTTATGATTGTAGAGGGTTCGAATTTGCCAACAGACAACTGACCAGGAAGGAAGATCTCAACAAGCTCTTCTCATCAAGGCGCCAAAGTACCATAGGCGTTACATATTACCAGGCAATTTCACGCTCTATTTTACTAACACATTATATAGTAGGCCTTTTTGGACGTACAGATCATCATAGCTAAGTTGTATTTTGTATAGGCCTGGATCTATTGGAATCTTCCATTCACCCGGTTTCGGAACCTCCATGGTATAACAGGCAATATACAAGTCGCAAAATGCACAAGTCTCAGTCTTGTAAGTTCATCACATTTCTAATCTCTGAATTTCTCAAAAGATTACTTTGAAACTGATCAGAAGTCCTCCTTGCAGCCATTTCTACTCCAGTCTGTCGGCAGACTACGATGAGGTAAACAGATAGTAACTCTCAGGTCCCTTTCACTTTTGTTTAGGGGTCAAAGTCAACTGTTCAATGTTCAATGCCCAAAGAGATACACTGCTGGAATTTTTCTTTAATGCCTGGTCTGCTGCAGGCGTGCTCGTGAACCATCTCCTACACCTAACGATGCATATCATCGGTCACGGTCCTTGTCACCTTCTCGGAAGGCACGAGCTAAATCTCTATCTCCTCAAATCGTGAACACAAACACTACAAAAGGTACATTGTCCTTTGTCTGACTGAGCGGATATTTGAATGTGAAGCTTGCATAATAAAAGGACATTAATTGGATATTCTCGCATTCACTTTTGCTACACAGAAACAAGGGCAGGCTTGCCGATACCAAATTCTAATCCTCTGGCACGGTCTGCTACAGTTGCAAGAAGACCGCCATTGAACTCAAAGCATTTGGTATGCCCTGAGCATAGTGTTTACCCATTGCTATGTCAGTTTTGGCTAACCCTTGTTTGTCTAGATCTCTAGCTTACTAGGCATAGGTTTCTAAAAACATTATTGGGTTCCTGTCGTGTTTGATCATAGAAAACAACTTTTTGTAATGCGGTCAACCTTTTGTAATGTGCAGAGACAAACTTCGATGCAGTTGCACACCGACTGGGATCAGCACAAGGAACAGGAGAAAAGCTCAAGCAAAGGGAGGGGTTTCCTCAAGTCGCTGCTCACGAGGCGCCGGTGGAGGAACGATGAGTCGTTGTACAGTTACTTGGATGAGTACTGATTGCTGGGATGTTGGAACCAAAGTCTGGTGTTAACTGAATCTTTTGATATATGTGATGTTTTGCTTTGCCAAAAGGTTGGTTTCCCGTTTTCATTCACGTGCCTATACGACAGACACATGATGGAGGCTGCTCAATTCTGATGCAAAAGGCACATAAGTTTTAAACAACCGCGTAACTCGATTGGCAAATAGGGCCTTAGTCTTGGTCAAACCTAACATTGAAGTTTATTAATTATTAGAGCCAAATTTTCATGGAAAATAATGCTGACAAGGTAAATTTTAACTTATAGAACAAACCTTAATTCAGTACTATACGGAGGATTTTTAGTCACGGCTCTATATGGTTTGTAGAGGTGGATGGGTTAGGCGCTCCTAACCATCCATTTATAGAAATTGATTTGTAGTGGCAGTTAGAAAGCGAACTGCTTCTGCAATCGTTTTATAGAGAGATCACAAATCGGGTTAAAAATAGCAAATTCTTTTTTTTATCAGGGGCGACCCCGCGCCGTCGCAAGTCACAAGTCAAGTTCTTTTTCACGTGAAAAATGTATACTTCGCGGCCACTGGGGATCGACCTCCCCCCCTCCCCCGCGCCTGTAGTCTCACACGTATCTTCTCTAGCCACTCGATCCATAAATCACTTGTGTCCCTATGACACTCTAGCCTCTAGGCAATGTAATGTAACCACACCATCCTTCGTTGGTTTTTTCTCTCGATGATGGGTATGCTTTACCAATTTCAAGAAAAAATGGATGTGAACTCCACATTCTACACAATAGAGTCCGATGCTTAGATTTTAAGTTGTATCGAATATTATTTTTCTGCATTTTTTGCACTTTTAGAAAATAAAAAGTTTCTGGCTTCAGTCATCTTCTATTGAGGATGAATCATATCACAATTATTAGAAAAGGTAGTTAGTTTTACGACAGAAAACATGTCCAAAAGGGCATATACGCAAGACGACAAATAAACCTGATATAACTAAAAAACAAAAGAAAAATAAGAAAAACCAAATCATCACAACATAACCTGAGTAGTCATTCACATCATTCCAAGTTGCTACACGTGATGTCAGCTCTAAAAGAACTAGCTTCACCACACTTCGGGTCAAAAAAGAACTGTGCGTGAGCTAAATCCAAGATAGATGAAATAACAAACTCCGCCTACTAGAAGAACTCTAACCAATAAGTTGAGAATTCACCACCAAAACATGCCTCTAAACCTTTGAGGACCATGAGAGTTTGTAGGACATCAACCATTGTTGAAGTCTCTAGATACCTTGCAATAATGGCACCAAGGCCTTGGTGAGCAAGAGCAAGACAACCACCATCAAGCGACACCAAAACCCCACGGCATCGACAATTCAAGGGGATCCTCCAATGTGACATCTCTAAGGAGAGAATAACGTCCAAAGACGACGCCATCACATGACTAGATGATTAGTGTTGGGGTTTTATCCAAATAGGCTCTTGCAAGCGAGGAAAAAGGGTAGCTATGAAGGTGCCTCTAGTGGAAGTGGCATCCACAGACGTCATCATCAAAGAGACAGACAACTAGTAGCTAGATTGTTGCCAAAACCTTCAACCACCGGCCATCAGAAATATTGTTGTTAGACCACACTTCTCGGTCACTCAGGCAACAAAATTGTGCATAACACCAGACTAGCAAGACACATGCCATATCTGGCCAATCACTGTAACACCCTCGGTGTTTGGCTTCTACTAATTGCATTTCGTCTCATAAACATGTGCATCATTTATCTCATCATGTCATTTTCCCTGAAACATACATATGAAACATTCGCATATTCTGTTTGTTTCGTACTAGATTGCTTGTGAATGGTAGTAGTGCAACATGTGAATGTAACATGAAACTCTCATACTTGGAAACATGGCAACATGGTAGTAATGTGACAAGTGTAGAATAACAACCTAGCCATGAAACATGTGAAACATTACATTGCAACGTATGAGTGAATTGTTTGTTTTAGTCGCTTTATTCCATGTGATCCTTAGAAGTGGTATAACAAGTTTGTAGAGTGGTTGATTATGGTCTAATACACCTTAACTACACTTAGGTTACTTGTTTGGACATTGTTCATGTAGATCAAAATGACCAAAATGCCCTTAATTGCATGTTTGACTTGAATTGACCCTAGGAGTCTCACTGTTTGACTGTTTAAAAAGTGCAACTTAGAGTCTATGCATGTCTGAGCAACCTAAAGCAAAGTTGTAGCTAATTTATCAAGGAACAAAAGTTGTTTTATGATCAACTCATGAAAATGGCTAGAACATGCTCAAACATGGCCCACAAGTCAGAATTTCATGCAAATCAACACTGAAAAATCTTGCTAAGTCATGGATGTCATTTCAGTGTGATCGAGCCATCTTTGGCTTGTTGTAACTTCTGATCCATGGCGAATTAGGTGTTGGTTCTTGAAAGTAAATTGCAGATGGATGTTTGGTCTACATTTTTCATGAACACTGTTTTTGCAAACAAGCAACGGATTAGCCAGTTTACCGCGAGGAAGTCACCTATTTGTCAGCCGCTCACCCGACCGAATGGAAGCTGATGGTCGCGTTTTTGAACGCGCCGGACGCGCGTAGCGTGCCTTGGTCGAAAGGCCGGCCGACCATGGCCGGGCCACGCCGCTGCGTCGCCCCTCTGGCGTCCGCAGACGCGCTTTGAAGCCACCCCGCGCCGCCAGCGCCCTCGCCGATTCTTTTTTTTCATTTCTCCGCTTCGCCATCGCAAGCGCAGCCGCAAGCAACCACTCCGCCATAGCTCCACCGTCGCAGAGCTTGCTCTCGCCGCAACTGCAACTTCCGCTTTACGCCTTCACCATAGCTCCGTCGTGTTTGTGCGGACCTTCCCACCTTCTAGCTGAGCCAATCGTGGTTTGTAGGTGAGGACCTTGGCGATTTTCCGACGCCAGTAGTCATGGCCTACCTCGCCGGAGTTGCGGGTCATCGTACGCTGCAGCTCCGCACCGCTCTCGCTTCCCTAGCCTTCGTTTCATCTTTCTAGCTGTCGTATTTGCTCTAGTTATGACGTTATCGACGAAGCCATTTCGGCCGAGCCGAACACGGCACCAGCGCACCACCGCGCGCCATGGTCGCGCCGGTGACATCACATGGCTACACTACGCGCACTTCACCACGACCATTAGCGATAGCATAGACAGTCCGCCTTGGTCTCTCGGAAGGCGATCGCGCGCTTTGCCTGGGTACCTAGCGCCGGGGTTCACCGGAGCGCCGCCGTGCGCCATGACCGAGCCGCCGTGCGCCATGGCCGGCGTACCTAGGGACCGGTAGAGAGAGTGTTTGGGGCACCAATCAACGCGGGAGGTCGTGACGGTCACGAAGGTACTCTCCTCGTCGCCGGAGAAGTCGCTGTCGGCGAAACTCACGCCACCGCCGTCGCCGCCTCCTCGCTTGTCTCACGACACGCGGGTCCTCCTGTCGGCGTCGGCATTGCTGAGGCGGGAGCCCAGCTTGGGCCGCTTGCGCCATTGTCTGGGCCGCGCCTGTGCGCTCGTGGGCCGCCGTGTCTGACCGGGCCGGCTCAACAGTTTCTGTTTTCTTATTTGTTTTGTTTATTTGTTTTCACAGATTTATGTGCATGATTCTAAAATGTGTATTTCCTAGTATATAGATCCACAGGCTATGGTTCTAATTTTGTTGAGTTCCTAGTATTGTCTAGTATTTAACAAAAATAGTATATGAGCACATGTTTTAGAAAAATTTGATGAATTAAATAGGAGTTTGAAATGTGTTTTTAGAAGCATGCAAACTTGTTTGAATTTTATCTTGAGTTTCTGTGGTCCAAAAATTATGAAATTTTGTGGGCAGTCTGTTATTGCTGATGTGAAGCTCTGGTAAAAATTTTAGAGCTAGTGCATGTGTAGTTTTTAAGTTATAGAATTTCCTTTTATTAATAAGTGGATCTTGTGTGAATTTTCATAATTTTTCTATAGATCCAGTGAAGGTGAAATTTTATGGGTGCTATTCTTATGCTAGAAGGATGCTAGGAAAAATAGAAAATCTGTTGCTTGACACTTTTTAATAAGGTTTCCTAATTATGCTAGAAATAGACATGTCATCTGTTATTTTGGATACAGCAAGTTATGTTGGTCCAATGGCTTTGAAATTTTTATGGTAGTCTATGTGCAGCATGAGATAGCTACTGTAATTTTTGTAGATTTTTATGAATAGTTTTGCTATATATTGCTTAAATCACCTAATTAACTAAATAAATTGGAAAAGGATATTAAATAATTTATTTAGAAGTTAGCACTATACTTTCTGATGTTTCTAAGATATGAAAAACAAGTTGGTAAACTTGATTTGGTCAAATTAGGCTTTTGCACCATCATTAAATAATTAAGTTAGCAACCCCGTCATTCTGGACAGATTCTAGGTCTACTGGAAATTGATTTGGTTAACTTCAGAATCATGCCTTGATGTTTACAAGTGAATTGTAGAGAATTTCATAAGCTTTCCAGAATGTCCTCTTGCAAGTCATTTGGAGTTATAGAACTCTGGTTATGATAGAATTAAGTTACTATTTGTTGCATATGAAGCTTTAACTGTTATTTTAAGTATGTCTTTACTATTCTAAGTTCATGGTACTGTTCCTAGGTGTTAGGCCTTTAACTGAAGATGAGCATCTTTATCTTAGGTTATGCAAGTTAGGTAAGTTGCTCTTGTTATTTAAGTTAAGTTGGATACATGCTTAAAGTGATTTGAATAGAGCTAATTACTCGGTAAACGAGTGTCCAGTGATGTTTTCGTAAACACCCATTGTGATCCCTTCATCATGAGCATCATGTCATTCCTTATGCATCCATGATATTTATCTTGTGCATCGGCATGCAATAGGTGTACCGGAAGGAGTAACCCTGTTGGAATTCGAGGAACCGAGCGGCAAAGCAGCAATTAAGCCACGGGAGATTCGGAGGAGCGATATTTACGGAGAAGTGCCAGACGAGGTCGCCGTTG